TGCAGAAAACGCTTGCAGTTCTGGATAAAATTATTTCGTCTCATTGTGTTGGTTCATAATATCTTTCCTTTTGATTTTGAGTCCTTGGTTCTCCTTGGTTGTGCTTTTTCGTATTTTCCAAGATTCCGTGGTACAAAGAGAAAACTATTTCAACTGCTAATATCATTTTAACATTTCAGTCAATGAAACAACAAAACTGCCAGAAGAATTGATTTTAAAAATCAATTATATAATGTAAAGGTATTTTTGTTCTTTCAAATTGCGGCGCCCACTCACTCAAAGCATGGCTAGCTAAACGACCAACTAGCCCAACCATGCTTGTGATATAGTATTCAAAATTAATAGTGCCTCAGAAATAACATATGATGGCTAGAAAAATAAAAAATATTCTTAACAGTTGTATTTTAGTGACAGCCATGATTAGAATGTTGTCAATGTGTAAATGTCATACTTTAATAAATTAGACAGGATATATCATTATGAATGTCACATGTGGTCTGAAAACATTTACCGTCTCTGGTTATGTGAGATCTTCCCGTTGATTTGGCTGCGGTGGCCTTTTTTGTATCGACTTTCAGCTCCGATTTTTGTCAGTACAGGTTGGCGTTTTAGCATGTTATTCTGTATCAAAATGTCTTTGTCTAACATTACAATGAATTAAGGAGCAATAACAGCACAGTGAACTGTAAATATATTATAGTTAACACTCGTTTCAACATTAGTGCGGAAATTGTAAAACATATTGTCACCTCAAAAACACAAGTAGCTTTAATTTACTGTACAGCTTTGCTTTCGTACTGCGTTCCTTTGCTTTTGCGCAAATTATTTAATTGTATAGTGCTACTGACTCACCAAAATCATTACGATAAGTATCACGAAAATCACTCTGCTTACAGTAACTTGTTAATAGGTTTTCCTGTGACAATGTTATAGCTGGTCTAGTCATATACAGAGTACAAAAGATGCCATAGCTAATAAATCAATCAACATTATAATAAGTCATGATACAACAAATGTGTGTCAATTAACTCTCCTTTCCTTTAAAAACAAAAGCTACAACATTATGAGTTGTTGTGTTTTTATCTGTAGGAGTTACTTTGATAGAACGTATAAAGCCTCGTTAATGAAATGCTGACTGGTGCAGTATCACCATGTATTGAGGTAAAAGGTGTGGCCAGCAGTCCAATCTAGATAGAAAACAAATACAATGTCAAACATTAACAACCCGAAATTAAATAAACTTAATCAAAAACGCACAATTCAACAAAGCCAGACAAAAATGTCAATGTTTTCTTTTTTTCCTGTGACCGGTAGTTTGATAAGAATGTGATAAAGAGTTACATGAAGTTTAGAATTGATGAGGCGGTGTGGATATTTATCTCGAGACCGTCAGAGCGGGTACAATGGGTCGAGAGGCGCTTTACCGGCGGATGCTCCCGCACAATGTGGCGGGTATGGTAAATGTGAAGTTAGAGGCCGCATACTGGAAAGGGTGAGACACTCAAACACAGAATCATTACGTTACCATGGAAACTACTCTAAGACATATAGAAATGTCGTATTATAATGTAGAGCGGTTGTCAATATGTATTCTGGGCATCATACTGCCATCAATTATAACTCTCCGACAGGTTTACACGCGGAGCCGTGAGAATCTTAAACGTCCCCTAAAATCCAATGAATGGTAAAATGGCGATATTGAAAATTTAAAATTGTTTTTATGAACAAGAAGATTAAACCATATGAGGAAGAATAAATCAGAGCTTTGTCAAAGAATATTGAAATGGGCGAACATCTGATTCCTTTAAAGGCCCAGCTTAGAACAGGAATATTTTATTTGGGTTTTATATACAGGATCTGGACTCTATTCCGCTGTGAATCCTCCATCAAATGGCTGTCCAACACTTGTTCGTGTCCGAGAAGATCACAACGTCCCTTAAAGCATATAATATACATGTAGCTGCAATAGACAAAGGATTTTTTCTAAGAATATTACACTAACCTCTGTAAAAATCACTTGCTATTTATTGCAGAAAACAGTTCAGCTTTCTTCTAAGTCATAACAAAATTACTTATTTTAAAAAGGTTATTGATATTACAAATGTGTTTCCCTCAAAAAAAAGTCAAAATTCTTACTGTTTTCAATTAAAAAAGATGAGATCATCTGCAAAATTCTTCTGAATAGCATTTGGAATATATAAGCGTACTCATGATACTTATTTTTCCCCTTTCCATTGCATAGAATGTAAAATATCAAAGTATTTTGTCAAAATTATCTGAATAGAAAATGGTTTTAATTATCTGATGTGTATTCTTTTATAATTTGTATTTCAGTTTGAGGAATATATAATAATTGTTACCGTTCGTTTATAGTTTTTCCATTCTCCTTCGTTCTTTAACAAAAGACAATTCTCGTCTAAACTAAATTACTATTTGTAATATTGATCAAAAGGAATTTTAGATTGAGTAATCACTTCTTTTTATAATCGACATTCTATTTAAAAGATATCTATAACTGTAATCACTTTAGATTCACACTATCGTACGTAATGTATATGGTTAAGGATTACAGATCAATATCTTTTAGCACACATGTCCAGTTGTTTTGTGATTTTACAAAGTATGTTAGATGGCAGAATAGCCATTTCAATTTATCCTTCAATTTTGACGTGTTTTGTGTATAATTTGTATTCTTTTAATTTATATCGTTTTTAATTTGTATCTCATATAATTTGTTTTATGTACAAATTGTTTCGTGTATAGTTGGTATTATGCATATATAAATTTGTGTATAATTTACTTAGCTTCAAATTTGTATGATATATGATTCTTATTATATACAATTGCTTTGTCTATAATTTGTATAATATATAATTTGTATTATGTACAATTTGTACCGTATATAGTTTGCATCGTGTTCTATTGGTGATATGTGCTAGCACTAATTTAAGTTTGCTTTTTTTCTAAGGGTATCAATGCAATAAAAGATATAGTTAATATCTGTGTATGCTAAACACATTGTTATCTAGCTGTTTGTAACAACAATATAGGTATACTTTAATAACCTGAAAACTACATTAAAGGCTGTTTGGTCCCCCGCTCATGTATCATAGCATGGTGATTGTATTGGTTATTACACGATGGACTGATATCTGAAATAGTGTTCAAATTGTTATCTCTATTATGCAATACCCATCGCAAGTTTTTAATTCATGTGCTAAAAATGTCTAAAAGGTTGTCTTGAATCCAATTACCAATGTCTATAATTAATCAAACACTTAAGTAGTAAATGATACATTCCAGTCCTCGGTTATATCGTATTAAAATCAGATCAGTAAAATCAGATCAGTAAATTGCACGTTGTTAAGATCACAAATAAGTGTTTGTTGCCAACAGAATAATGTGAGTTTTCTCTCTGTTACTCTAGCCATTACTACCGCCTAGTACCTATCTACAGTGATTGTTTACTTGTTACCAAATCAACACAATTTGAACAATGATTTTACTTCTAATTTACTGTAAGTATAATGATACTTACATTCAAGGAACATTCTTAGGAATACTGAAAGATAACGTGCTTTATATAATATAATAACCTTAGGAATACTGAAAGATAACGTGCTTTATATAATATGATAACCTTTGGAATACTGAAAGATAACGTGCTTTATATAATATAATAACCTTAGGAATACTGAAAGATAACGTGCTTTATATAATATGATAACCTTTGGAATACTGAAAGTTAACGTGCTTTATATAATATAATAACCTTAGGAATACTGAAAGATGACGTTCTTTATATAATATAATAACCTTAGGAATACTAAAAGATGATTTTGTTTTGTGTCATATGTTTCAAGATGATCGCAAATACAAATACATTGCAAAAATGCACAACTATACCAGGGCTTAAACTGTTGTTTGAACAAAAAATACTTCATTAACACTTCACGATTAAGATGAAAAGTATTCAATAACAAATGTACAGCTTTCGTAAGTCATCTGTTGGAGCGTCCATGGTGACGAGCTGTCACCTGGAGGTGTGTAAGAAGACAAAAGAATAAAATAAAGCAACAATTAAACCATACAATGTTATGAAACGTCTCTTGGGTATGATGCGATTAATAAATTGCTTTATCGATAGTCTGGACTGATGAGATGGAAAAAAGGATAGGATAACAACATACGAACGCTAAACCGCTAAAAGTACAGTATAATAATTGTTCATGTGTAAGTGAGTGAAAAATATAATACATATCACCGAGATAATGCCGAAGTAATATACATCACATCTGGTATAAGTGTTTAATATACTTAGGGCTTATTCTTATTATAAGTTAACAGTAGTAGTTAAACGGCTATATTAAATACAAATGTTTTATGTATTTATAATTTATTATTACATTAAGTCCCTATAAACAGATCTACAGATGGACTCTTGACCATTCTGTTGACTTTACAGTTGTTTACAGTTTTATTGCCCTAACCTTTAGCCAGATAATGTCTAACACGTGCTGAGTCTTACTCTATTACTTTGTTTATATTAGAGAGATAATTGCACGGGGCTGTTCCCTATAGCTGTACGTAAGTAACGCAGTTATCGCGAGATAACGGGTCCTGTCAATTTAATATCACCACCAATACGACTTAACACTGAAGGAATTGGGGGGTCATTATTAAAAACTGAAGATATGGACGTCTGCATGAAATAGATATGTACTACCTGGACCGTTTAATTTTAATCTATCCACCATATACTTATCGCTGAGGGTTCGCTACTGTAAAGTCAGTGTTATCAAGAATGGAGGCGGAGACTGCCCAATCAGAACGCGCCGTCGATTAAGACCGTACGAGTAGATTTGACATTTAGCCAATCGCGTGGTGGGTTTCGCCTGTAGGGGAGGGACTTTAGTGTTTGGCATTAAAAAGTAATTAATCATTGTATAATATGTGATTGATCGCTGCCTCCCGTTCATTCCTACGGCACCGTACAAACTTGTGAAGATACCGGATTGGCAGTGATAAGGGAAAGCAACGTTTGATACATGCATCATATATATAGTACGGACCCTTAGGAGTCGATTCTTGTGTAAGTCGTATAAAGTGAAGGCCAACAGGGGGCTAAAGTGCAAAAATATAGATTTCAAAAACGACCCATCGGACAACGGCGATATCACGACGCTTCTTAAATCATCCCGAATTGTTAACGTCTGTCTACAATGTTGTCAACATGGCGAAAGAAAGCAGCATGTGCGCGGACACTCCAATGATGCTGGATATTACCTTATCTGGAACCATCAGATGTATTTGTCGTATTGATACTTTACTAGTTTAGCTCGGACACTTTCAGTTATTTGGTTTAGAATAATTGACTTTAATTTTTAACGACAACGTACGGATTATTTGGAAAACAAGCCTCCATAAGTATTTCTTTATTCTTTCTTTTCCTGTATTTAATTCTACATTGCAATTTCAAACTCGACTTCCTTACAATTTTGTTTGGGTAACAAAAGGATTATAAAATTTTGACTCTGGTAGCTTCTTCCAGCTGACAATTTGTGCTTAGTTCCGGAAGGACGTCGTGATGTTGGATTATTGTTCCAGTGACGGGTCCGGGACCTCGGGATACCATCCCAATCCCAGCCCCACAACGATGGCAAATTTGCTGAACATGGGTATGGACAATAGTCGTGTTGGTCAACCAGCATTTGTATTAAGTAGTCCTCCATTGGCCGCTCTTCATAACATGACGGAGATGAAGACTCCTGCCTCCTCCGCTAGCATGCTCACTCAATCCGGGTACTCGCAGGGTAACCAAAAACATTTTTCCTGGAACGGCACTCCCCATGGTATCTGTGACATCCTTGGTCGCCCTAGCATGGCAGCATTAGGACTTTCTCGTCTGAACGCGGCCGGGATGTATCTCAATTCGCAAGGACGACTTCCAAAGTTAGCGGAACTACCCGGCCGGCCCCCAATTTACTGGCCAGGAGTTATAAACGGTTCTAACTGGCGACCAACGGGTGAGTTTGGCATACTAACATCTTAAAATTGTCTTCAGGATTATTCGGTACATTTAAACTTAACCTCAGTTTCTGTTTCTTTATTTCCGAGAGCCATCCGACACATTGCTAAGATTTCATTCAATTACACCATGTAGTACCTGTACAAGAGATTCTGTTTACAAATTTTAATTAATTAAGTGGATGGTAAGCTTACTAAGAACCTTAAGTAATTTTCCATATCAGACATCGATTTTTTATAAGTTGTAAAGATGAATCAAGACGTAAGTTCAAATTCGATATGTACTTTTCCACGTTTTTATTATTGAATGTTTGGTAAGTTGTTTTAACTAATTACAAAATAATCTTATCTCCAAAAATGTGGCTAGTCCCGTCGATGAATTAAAGACTTATTTATTTGAAAAAATTGTAAGGTTTTGTTATATTGCCAAGTTTTTATTAAGTTTGATTTCTTATTTACCAGACAGACACCCATGTTCATATTGTCGCTAAATACTTATCATGTCTAAAAAAAACACTTATTACTTTCAAGTTAAATATTTATACCTCACCATATAAACACTAATTACGTATAATGTAAAACGCGAATTACTTCTCATATAGAGAACTTGTGATTACTTACCAAATAAAACAAAATTGAAATCATTGGTGCATCATTTAAATATGTTTAAAAAGGAATTGAAATTGACTGATATTAATGCTATTCCTGAGCTTATAAAGAGTGCGTTTTGTTACAAATATTAACTTAATGTAGGTTAATAAGTATCAGTATTTAAAAAAAAAATGACTTATACTTAACTGAATCATGAACTTTGATATGCTTAGTGATAAATTCGTCTTTCCGTCATTGAAGGAAATAATACGTTTTGTAAATAAAACAAAAAAAACAATATCGTTTGATAACTAAAAGGAATCTACTTTGTAATATGTAATATTGTGACACAATTAATTTAATAAAGGCTCCACCAAAACAATTTCAAACAAACCGTAAAAGTGGAATTTCCAAATACTGACAAGTATCAATTTTTATTTTCACAAAAATACAGGTTTTGGTATTAAAAAATATTTTTAGATGGAACGACCGTAATTATCTGAAGTGGTGAGTGTCCGGAGGGGTTGTAAGTGGTCGGTAAGAGCTGGTTAAGTGGCGAGTTTACACCGTGTAGACACATATACTGGGGTGTCGGGTCCGATTCCAGTCGGCGGGGTGGGTTGTCGGGGTAGCGGTGAGCTGACGTTCCCGGGCACGTCTGGCCCTTACAGTACACAAGGTGTAAATGTCGGGTGATTATAGTCATGTCTTACCGTATTTAGACGACAACAATTAAAGACTGTTTCACACAAACAAGAGATAAAGTACTCATCTACTCACCGCTTCGTATCTCGTCTGACATATTGTTTCTCCGAGACGTTCACTACTCGTAGCCATTCTAATAGATAGGCACACTTCAAATTACGTACATGACTATGTATATTTTTATTGAAGTAAAAAATAAAATAAAAAAAAGTTCTTTAAAATTAATATCAGTCAGAAGTTATCTTTTCTATTCGCTTTAAAACAAATTCAAATCACATATGACAAATTTCAACTACGGGTTTCGTGTATGTATATAATTTATTTATACATATTAAGCTTTCATTTGTAGAGTTCGTTTTGCTGTTTACAACCGGATTTTCCTTTAATTCGAAGAACGGTACACAGTATACGTATTGAAGAGACAAATCTATCATCATCAAGCCATATTTTAAAAACACTAGACATTGTTTTCCTACAACATACTTGTTCCCGATGAAGCTATTCTAGATGGTATAATGCGCTATCCAGATGTCGCAAAGAATGTTCCTTTCTATTGCTAAATAAATACCGTATTGTATAGCCATGTGCGTTCTCTCTTATCGCTGTTTCCACACACTTTGCAGAAATAAAACAAAATTATTTTGTTATTATTTTAAATGTCTAGATTTTGTTCTTTGATTTACTCTCTGTAAGAAAACTTGTATGTGGATAATGTAGAAGAAACCGTTTCTTGTGAACGCTTTACCGTAATATAATAGTCTGTGATGATGTTTCCAGATATACGTCACAATCTTTTCGTCACCGATACACGACATAAACGTCTGTATCTTACATTTGCTGTTCATTTACATAGGCAAAGTTTTAAAATGGTTTCCCAATTTCTTTTAATTTAAAACTAACCGGAGGATTTTTTCGATTATGTCAATGGCTTCATTTGTAATTCGTTGATGAAGCTTAATGTATCTTTAAATCATTTTTTGTATTTTTTGTTTGTCACTGTCATGATGACGAGACAAATGCAATTTAACGTATTCACATTTTAAAAGGTTTTTTGGTATGTATAAATATAACCTTTCTCTATGGGTATATAGTAGCAGAAACAAACAAAAAAGTGATTCCGGAAAGAATACGATATTGCTATTTAAATTTCCTGACACAATTTAAGCATATCTTTTTACGTCGCTGTTCATAATCAAACATTTATTTAAAATGTTGCTGATATATCTAGGCGAGAGAAATTTCTATCCACTTAAATCTTTTAAACAAATTTTTCTGAGTTTTTCTAATCGTGCAAAATCTTTTCCCTAAAATGTTTTTTCGTTTGATGTATCGAGGAGAATTCAGCGCGATTTTAGCCTTATCTTGATAGTTTAACATTTTAAATATCAGGGGAAGTTTACTATAGAACCTTGTTCCATCACAAGACAAATGATTGACAGGTTTATAGACCGCGTGGTCAATGTCAGTAGCCGGAGATTACGGAGGTGTATTTGTTTTGTGTCTGTAATTAATTTCCCACCTGGTTACTACAGGTAAACAGTTACCTGGGAAATTGACACGTGTTTGGTTACTACCCTGGTCATAATCGTTAGAGACTTAATTAAATGAAGTAGTAATATACTACAGACGTCAAACTGACATGATTATCGGTAGAGTCCCAGAGCAGGAACCGGAAATCATCTGTCTAAACGTAAAGTGCAAATAATACCGTAATTAATATAGGAATTATATACTTTTTTGTGAATGTTGACCTGAAGTTGGGTTTTTTTTATTTGTTTGAAATTCATTTATGCAAATAATTCATTATGGTTGAATTTAACATACAGTTAAAACTTGGTAAAATGACCCATAAAATATATAGACCTCATAGCATCCATTACCGACATAAAATGAACCGCCTATCGAATTAAATGAATTGATATATTCTAAAGTTATTCTTATTTTAATCTGTCATATTCAAAACAGTATTTTTTCACTAACGACTTAAATCTTTGGTTCTTGTTTTTCCTGTGTTCCCTCCTCTTGTTCCTCCCTGACTGGTGTCGTTCCATCATGATGAGGCAGACGTTTGATATTGATGCTAAAACTGACAGGCTTATTTCAGAGCCTAATATGTAAATATGTATTCCTGTCAGTGCGATGTCTGTGAGCCTGGACGTCAATCGATGTATTTAATGGTAAACGGCAGTGTTAGGGTATTTATCTTTAATCTTGTCTCTCACAACTATCAGCGTCTCTCACTCTGAGAGCAAACATCTCCCTAAGATGATACTGTAACGGTGGGNGGGGGGGGGGGGGGGGGGGGGGGGGCCTCTCGAAATTGACCCATTCTAAAACAGGCAATGTAATTATATGACAATGTAGCGAGTCCAGATGGCAATGTAACGGGATTGGATCAACTCACAATGAAATGGCACTGTAACGGAGACCTATGAAAGCCTGATAATATATGTAGCATTCTTACGGAATTTGAACTGACGGCACAGAAGAACCACAATAAATTTCCATCGTTTCATTGACCCCTCGCTTTCTGCTAACACTTTGACAAACTACCATACCTCCTTATTACACCAAAGTTTCATTGGGGGAAAAAATAGCGTTATATCGAGAAAACTTCACTGTACAGCAAAGATATATAAATCTGATGATAATGGGATGTTTATACTGTAAACATAGCTATTTTGACAGCAACGTTATTTTCGCGATAAGATGAATCAATCAACATTATGCAAAGAATTGTCTGCATAAACACATAAACAAGACTGTGTGTTAAAGAAATGAGTCTCCCTCCATATGACATTGTAATAGAGAGTGTATTTATTGTCATATCTACTCTTATTCTGAAAGTCACTATAATGAAATAGAGATATGGGAACAAAAATATGTATATTAAGCAATGTCATTCAATAAACAATAGTGCGCCCGGTATCAGAAACATCTGATAACAACGACGTGCCAACTGGCAATCATTAAATGCAATATGTCACAACAAACTGTGGAATTTGAAAGCATATGGTAAACAGAATGAGTTTTAAGACAATATCTATTGCTCTACATTATACAAGTTATATCAAGAAGTTCAACTCTCTTTGGGTTTGTAAAGAACTGTGTAGTTGAAGTTATTTTGTTCTGAGTCCTAGGCCTTTTCGCTATTTGTTGTTTGTAAACTACAGCAGGTTGTGTAACAGTTGTGGGTATTTCAGAAACTAGTGGGTTAGTTATAGAGGCTTTTGTTCCGGAACTCGTTAGTTAGTTAGTAATAATCTACAAGTATTAGATGACGGCTGGAAAGTTGTGATGGCGAAGGGGTGTGTGTATCAGGATTGGGTTGACAGGAAAGAATTGGGGGTGGCTGGCGGACTTAGATTTAAACAGTTGATTTTACTGATATTTCACGCGCGCATGGGAGAACATTTGAACGGCAAACAAAGAAACAAACATTTCTGTTCCAGGCCACAGTTCGGTAGTTGTAGACAAGGATGGGAAGAAGAAGCACACAAGACCAACATTTTCTGGGCAGCAGATATTTGCCCTCGAGAAGACATTCGAACAGACCAAGTACCTAGCAGGTCCAGAGCGTGCGCGCCTCGCTTATGCCCTCGGCATGTCGGAGAGTCAGGTCAAGGTAGGTCACTGTTTCGTCCGTCCGTCTGTCTGTCTGTATGTCTGTCTGTATGTCTGTTTGTTGCCCTATCTGTCTGCATGTTTGCAGTCGTGTTTGTCTTACGTCTTTGTTATTAAATACGATAAATTTAAGGATATCAAAATATAAAAACTATCTCTACAGTCGACAGATAAACTTGCTGAGAAAAAAACCCAGTTTTATGACAATTTGTAAAAAAAAAATAAAAAATAAAAAAGCAATAATGTTTACTACTAAGCTGAATAGATTTTATTCTGATAACCCAAATTTAACCAATGGTAAAAACGACAAGCAGAAATAAATTTTATCATAATCAATATAAAATCCAAGTGTGATCATGTGTAAGGATATTGATAAGTATTAATTTCAGTAACAGAACCCACAACATGCATATAGGTAAATATAGTCTGGTTCATTTTATCGGAGTTTCCTAAAGTTTGAATAGATCTCTGTAGCCAAATGTCAAACGAGATTTAGGGTTGACCTTACTCGCGACCGTTAAACAAATATGGGACGGCTGCGGACCAGTCAAAGATATAGCATTTCTTGACTCCTGTTGATAAACTACAGTCACATAAATACTTTTCAACACTATAAAAGTCTTAAACCAATATCGAACCGCTCGGTTACCGGGCTTTCTCGGACGGTCAACGCTGAATAAGGACATAGCAACATTGCAAAGTATCATTCACAAGTTAATTAAATTCGTCACCGGGAAAAAATCTAAAATGTAAACGTTTATTTACACGGATTTTCTTACAGCAATAGGAATTGTTTTATAAACGTGATAATATAAAACGTTAAACAGATGGAACCGGAGACATGTTCTAAGTTGATAAATATTTACGATAGTTCTTCATTTCTATGATCATGTCGGCCATCGTCGTGATAATTACAAAACTTTGATAGTTCTTTTGAGTAATTAGTACGATAAAACGAATAGTAATTAGGGTTAGATAACATTTAATTACTGATCACTGTAGACACAATGTGATGCTACCCCCTACCTAAATTCGCGGCAATACAAAGATAGCATGTTATCAAAGGCGCACTTGTTGGTGCTGTCCCGCTTTTCACATGTCTTATGGGTTAGCAGGATCTGTCCCGATTAACGTCATAACGCCAGCACGCGGGGTTCCTAACTTGTGTTTGATATAGCACGCGCACAGACCTGTCCTCCTCAGTAGATTCCCTCCAAGTCCCCTCAAATCGATGGCCCCTGCTGGCAGGGCCACGGGGCAATGACAGGCGGTACCCACCTACAAACTTTGGACCTCTTGTATCGATAGCTCCGACATTGGGGTTATCTGTTTACGTGTGCAAACGTCACGATGTGAGGATCATAAGCAACAATATTCTGTTAATTAAATCGAAAAGGAGATAGACTTCCACTTTCTAACCAGATAATACACGAACAAACAATGTTACAGTTTAACTGTAAAATGTCTAAGGAAAGAAAACATACATTCATCTTGATGTGTCAGTCTATTATTAACTCCCAAAAACAAAACGTTACAGTGGTGTTTAACAGTAAATTAAAGAACACTGGTTCGTAGTTTGGACAGAAAATGACATATATTATTTGACGTCAGTGAGATACTATATTATATAAGTTACCATATAATCCATCGAAATATGTTTATAGCATAATGTGATTCTTATAAAAAAAAAGGTCTTTAATTAAGACAGAAATGTATGCTTGTTCATAACGTATTTTTTACAATAGTGTATTTGTAAAGGGAATTTATATGTATATTTTTTGTTTGACTCAAAGTAAGCAAATGGTTGTACGGCGAACTACCCGGTATTGGGAATGATACGTACGAAACATAAACTTTTATCGAAAACGCCTGACCACTGTCAAACAGACTCTTGAAAATCAGTATGTTTTGATGAAAAGTCAGAATATGTTTGATGAAAAATGGTGTATGATTTGATGAAAAATCAGTAACTGTTTTAATGAAAAATCAGTAAACTACTTTGATGAAAAATCATTAACTGTTTTGATGAAAAATCACTTGGTATCTGTTAAAATCGGTATATGTTTTGATGAGAAATTATTTCTAGTGTGATTTCTGGTTTTGTTTCGATGGCCGTTGATGCTTTTTTCGATAAATCGTCGTTTAGACCAGACGTGTGGTATTATTATTAGTCGGGTTTAGTGTCTACTGGGCAATAAAATCCTGTATTGTGCCTAATTAATTAGAGATCCTCTCCTCTACATGGAAGGGGAGGGACCCTGAATTCTCTCGTTACAAACCCTCCAGATCAATTGTCTCGCGACCGTCAGAACGTGCGTCGCTCGACCTCTAATTATGATTAATGTGTTAACACGTCTTACAGCTTGGTGCCCGGCTTAACTTCCTGTTCCGGCGGGAAATAGACAACTGTCTGACATCACTTGTAATGGCGGGGGATTTTAAGGATTCGCATTCTATCTTCTTTGCCGATTCTGATACAGATGTTTATTGTATCAATGTGTCAATACAATCAAGCCAACTTGTCCGATATAGCCTCTTAGTGGTCGAAAGGTTTCTAGGACAGGTACAAAATAAACATTGATTGTCTGATTTTGTCACGGGGATATGTATTATAGTCTGAGATACACAGTGGCTATTGTTAAATTAAGACAATAACATATAATAAAAACGTTGTTTTATTTTCATATGACGTATTGAGGGGTATATCTAAGTCATGCTGCAATAACCAAGGGCACGTTTGCATGGGACAAACTGGAAAACAGGAGAAACAAACAAAGGACAAAACATAGGATAAACACATTAGACAAAGACATGACAAAAACAGGACAAACAGGGAAAACAGGGGAAAAACAAACAAGGAAAACATGACTATAAAAAGGACAGACAAATTAGACAAAGACATGACAAAAACCTAGGACAAACAGGGGAAAAAAGGGGGGTAAACGAACAAGGAAAACAAGACTTTAACGCATGTGACAAACATATAGGACAAAGAGGACAACACATACAGCATGCAAGACTTACACATACGACAAACAGGCCTAACACACAGGACAAACAGAACTGGCACAGGAAAAGGGGACAAATAGGACTGATACATAGGACAAACAGGCCTAACGCACAGGACAAACACAACTGGCACAGGAAAAAGGGGACAAATAGGACTGATACATAGGAAACACAGGATGACACTTAGGAGCAGGACCAGTGCAAACTATATAAAAAGCCAGTATCACACAAACCAACTAATAATAATAAAACTCTGTTCGAAATACAATTATGACAACCCTTTTTATTGAAGCGGGACAATGTATTTAATAAGAAAATGTGGGATTCGAAAAAAAAATACTTATGCTTCCTTCTATTCATAATGTGTGGAAGCGTTTAACACGTGCGTTCATCATTTGCATGTGTATTTCACATCAAACAGAACAAGGCCCATGAGAGTGGGGTGTTTACGTTACCAAATGAGGGTTAATTCCTATATAATTGGTATAATTAAGCAGACATCTCTACCCAGAAGGATTCTAAGATAACACGATTCCGGTCGGTCTCATCAATAACCACTGCGAGGCCGTATTTGTATTTATTTAAACAATTTCTAGTTTGGTAAATAAATAAATCTGGCTTTGTATGCGTCTGGTTTTTCTGACCGTTCTAGCGGCGCTCTCTCAGTGGAGCGCGTGTGTAACTCTATGTACAACAAGTAAAGCTAGTTTACATGGATCATTTCTTCACATCTATTCCACCTCCCAATTTGTCATTGTCATTTCCATCGTCGCTATGATAATATTAAGTAGGTATCTCAAAAGAATCTAACGATACAGACGATATTGTTTTTACCTTTTAACACCACAAACGCCATTAAATATTCATCAACACGGATGCAAGTATTTTCCCTTTGAACTAAGTTTCATTAATTATCAATTCTGCAAATTCACCATCCTGACCCAAATGATAGACAGTTGCACTGTACACGTGCGTAGACGAAAACAGTTTTCACTCACTTCGCAATATAGTATTGACTAACAGCAAATATGAAATATAACCGAACGGAAAATGTTCTCAATGGTATATTATGTACTAAAAGCTTATTTTATTCTCGGGAGAATCAAAGCTCGAACAAATGATCCAAACGAACTAATTGATAACAAATGGAATTTTTGAATTTTTTTTTTCGATTTTCTTAATTTTGAAAAACATTCTTTCAATTTTTATTATGCATTATTAATAAGTTCCGTTATTGTGTTACTTTTATGAGCGCGAACCTCACTCTTATACTGTCATGTCACTTCAATTATTTCATCTTAAACACATTTTAAACACACTTTCAGCAAAACTGAACATTAATTTGGTACGGATGAAATGATACCGCGGAATTATTTAATATCTTCATGGTTATTATAAATCGAGTACGATATTAGTTGTTGAATATTTCCCGTTTCTGAAATTCCTTAAAAATGAATGAACAGGAAATGATGTATGATTATAAGGTGTTAACACTGCACTAGGCCTTGTTGATGGATGTTTGTGTTTGTCCAGCTTAGTCCACACTTGTGGCCGGAATCTCTTTCGGTGTATTACGTGGAATGTCCACCATAGGGTCAGAAGTGGCCGAAATCCCTTTAATCTCCGTTACATGGTCGGGGCTGGACATGGTCACCTCTTGTAGAGGAAGCTGTCTATTCACGCAAATCCGTGTGATGTGTAAGATGAATGAAATACCCATATGGAAATAGAATTTCCCGGACAATACTGGTCATTTCTTAACATCTGACCGCTGTCCACTTGACGATTATCAGACCAGTGTTTGAGTAAGTCCTTGATTACGAGAGCAGGGTCGGCATCCTTTGATGACCTGCCCCACCCGAATCCTCGGACTGACCATATCTGTAACACCTTTGTCCGAATCCTTTAGCCTTATCTAGCGTTTCATTGACCACGACTGGACAGGCCCCATCAATCCCCAATATCCAATTAAATGAAGTTACTCGCTAATGC